ACCCAAAAAATTGTATATTATCCCAATAATCAATTCCAAAAAAATAAAATTCAATTTGTACCCTAGATATAATCAAAATGAGTCTCCTCTAACAATGAATCTAGACCATCCATTTGGTGAATTTCAAGATCTAGGGGTTTACGAACTCAAAATCAATTTTTTATTTTTTTAACATTGTTCATCAATGATAGATACGATCTAAAAAATTTGTAAAGGAAGAAAATTCCTTCTAAAGCTTAAATCTAAGGATCTTTGCAAAATATATTCCCTGTGTTAATTGGGTTAAAAAACACTTTCTCGGTTGTGTTTTCAATTTTTTTTTTTCTGTTTTTTTGTTCCTTTTAATTGTTCGTTCGGAACGAGTAGTGTATATTTAAAAATTGGGGTAAACAAATGGTCTTAACATGGTTTTTAAAGATGGTTTCATTATATTACTATACAACCGTTGCATGAAATTGCTGCAATATATATGTATATATATATATATATATATATATATATATATATGTATTATTAGTTTTTGCTTGTGTACAATGATGTCCTTTAAGTGGGAAAAGACACACAAGTCCTTGGGTACATAGCTACAATAAAACATAGTATGAACTTGACATTGACAACATATATATCATCATCATCCGAGCCTTATCCCAATTATACGGGGTCAGCTACACGAATATATATATAATATATGCACTATTGATTTTGTAGCTATGAAATTTTAGAAGCGTACATGATCCCTTTGAATCACCCATTCTATGCCTTTTAACCTTTTTTAATGTGAGGTTATTGTTAGTCCTTTTCTAAGTTGGATCCTGTTTGTGTTTTAGTTTCCTAACTTGATATTTACATATTTTCACTCTGTTGTTCCAAAAATCCATGTCCTGAATTTTGGAAAATCTGAGTTGTATCCCTGCATCCCATATATGTTTGTCAGTTTTTTTATCCATGCATCATAACTCATAAATGTTGTTGCTGCACCACCCAAATATTTGTTTAAACGATCTAAAAGACTGACATTTTCTAATTTGTTTGGCTTGATTTCTATGTATTGCTTCAATTCTAGGCGATTTATCCAATCTCAGGTGCTGGATTCAAGCCGTATTCAGCTATGTAGATGATATTGAATCTTCACCTTCCCTGACAAGTAATGGTGGAGAAGAAGTTAAGAGCCATGTCCAAATCATGAACTGTTCTGTTTTCCAGTCTGATATCAGAACACTTAAGAAGCCAGCTGATGGTGCTAAAGACGTGTCATATAGCTTGGCTGAAATGTTCGGAATTCCCGATGAGTATGATGCGGTGAGCTTTTGTTCTTTTGTTTTTTTTATAAGAAATAGCTGCATCCATTTCACCATGAAACTAAATTGTGAGAGATTGATTGGGAGAATAGCAAATTTATAATGAGTTAAAGAATTCTAATTTATGAGGCATGGATTCTAATTTCACAGTTTCTTGAAAGTTCTACTTTTTTATTTGTTATGGAACTCGAAATACAATACTGGATGGTTGCATGGGTATTAACCTCTCATGAAATGGTAAAAGTTGTTACTCATAAATTTGAATACCCTTACAGAAAGTCACTTACGTAAATCATAAATAAATAAGTAAATAAACAAATAAGTAAATAAATAAATAAAATAGTAAATAAAAATAAGCATACTTATGGGTTTTGAATGGTCTGGTGATGGATAGACATTCTTATTTCAATAAAATGGAAGCACTGCTGATATGCTAAGAGATGTAGGACAAACCTTTTACAACTATAAAAGGGGCAAGGTGGGCGATGACGCATGACACATGGGAGATCAGCTCAAAGAGCTTATGGCATATGCTCCTCTTGGGGTTCATGAGGCTTTGGATCCCCTTTGCAATTCCTTTATTGGAAGTAGTGCATTGACTTACTTTTTCGGTCCCAAAAAGACTTCCATATCTTATAATTTGAGAATAAACAAATTGGTTCAGGTCTTTACAGCAATTAAGATGGGTTGAATGATACATAACAGTACCCAAGTTGATAGCAACTTTATGTCTTGTGTTGTAATGTAGATGGCTTTCAAGAAACATGCCATGGACAAGGGATCCTCACAAATTCTCTTAAGATGAATTCTATGATGTGTATTAGATTTGAATATGATGCTTCTTTTAAGGGTTCAAATCTCACTCTCAACATATTTTGAGAATAGGCTGGGGCTTTGGTGGTAGTACTAACGAGCCTTAAGATGAAATCTCTGACTCTATTCTCACCGAAAGGCAGGGGCTTAAATCTCCACTGACTTACCTTTTATGAGAATGGGCTGGGGGGGCCTTGACAGTAGTACCAACGAGCTCTATGATGAAGTCTCTGACTCCATTCTTACCAAAGGGTAGGGGGCGTAAATCCTCACTTGCTTACCCGGTTTTTTTTATGATGCTTCTTTTAAGTATTTATAGATTTATTTATTTATTTATTTTTGGGGATCTTGAACTATCTTTCAGTGCGCAGAGATCACTTTGAATGGGTTCAACTTCAAAATAAAAGGGCTTCATAGAGAACACCAGCACACCTGCAAATCAACTGGTTTGATGCTATGGGAGTCCGCTCACCTGATGTCCTCAGTTATCAGAAAATCCAAAAATTGTTGCTGGGAAGAGGATCCTAGAATTGGGTTGTGGCTCAGGTGGAATTTGGTGTGGCCAAATTTGCGGACCTTGTAGTTGCAACCAATGGCGATTCAGAATCTCTCAACCTTTTACATCAAAATATTAATTCAAATCTGGAGCCTTCAATCCTCGACAAGCTGCACTGCCTGAAACTAGAATGGGGAAATGCAGATCATATCAATGCAGTGAAGGAACTAAGCCCTGAAGGATTTGATGTGCTAATTGGCATCGACGTGACTCATGTGAGTGATGCCATCCTTCCCTAATTTGAGACTGCGAGAGCTTTGATCTCAACGAGAGTTGGGGGGCCACCACCAGCCTTTATCTTGTGTCATGTATTTTGTCGAGTCGATGAAGCATCGATCATTTCTTCGGCATCTAGTTTGGGGTTTGGACTGGGGGATAATTGGCCTTTTACCCATAGTAGTAGTAATAGCAGTAATGTTGGGAGCAGCCGTGGTACCATTGGTTCATGGTTCTCTCAAGAAGGTAGCTGCAAGAGAAATTCCCATACAACTGCTCTCAGAATCATGTAGTTTGAAACCCTAGATAAGTTTGCATGATTTTTTTTGTGTATGCTGCCATTTCTACAAACACCAAAAATTTTTTATCTTCTCATTGTGGTTGAACTTAATAAATTGTGAGTTTTTCCTTGTGTTTTTTGCTGATCTTATGTGTTATTCATGCTGTGGTGTTTGGAATTTTGATGGCAATATGAGATGTTGTCAAAGATTAGGGTTGCTCTTGTGCTGAAGTATTTGGGGCTGTGAGGCGTTGTTGTTGAACCTGAGTCTGGATTGCAGGCCAAATGTAATCGCTTCCCGAAAATTCCATATGATTCTCTACGGCATTATGGTGAAGTTCATGTGAAAGTTATCTTAACTTGGTTGAAATTCACCAGACGGTGGTGTATCAAGGTATTTGCAGGAAAAAAAATTGTATCGAACTACAAAATTTCCAGGTATGACAAAATTTCGGTATTAACTGCGTGTTGCCTTGAATTTGGATCTTGTTCAAAAACATGGAGAAAGGAAAAAAGTATGTTCTAACAAGTGTTTCAAAAAGGACTAGGTGGGTCCTAGGCGGTTAGGGGGTCCAGGCCACCCAATGATTAGGCGGACGCTCAGAACCTAGGTGCCCAATAGAAAAAAAAAAAAAAGATTCTATAGTCTCTAATAGTTTAAGTATAACTGTTTATTGTATAAAATATAAGAACTAGGGATTTATGGCACATTAAAATTCAAAAGTATACTACACAACACATAAGAGCACACACTTCATAAGCATAACCATAAGTCCTTATCCAATTATGAATTACAAATTATGAGTTATGAATTATCCATAATCTGATTGAAAGTCCACAATCCACACTCCACAAATCCACATTCTACACATAAACGTAGTTAAAACTTAAAATTTACCAAGTTACCAACCAAATTTCCAAAGCAACGTTACCAAATACCAAACCAGTGGAATCACAAATCCACTATCGACAATACACAATCAAGATGAAGAAAACAAAAATGAAAGAAATACTTAAATGCTCAAAATAATCTTCAATCAATGTTCAAAGTTTAATCATCAATTCATCAATCATCATTTATCATTCATCATCAGAAAAAAAAATAGGGTCAATTGCATTTGCATCATATGCATCAGGGTTGTTGCTATCATCATTGTCATCACCCTCCTTGACATAATGGTCGTCCTCCTCTGTCTCGTCTGAATCTGTCTCTTTTTCCTCCTCTTCCTCCACCCTCGCCTTCTGTGTAGAAGGCCTAGTGGGCCGAGGAAGGTCGGCTGATGTCTTAGAAGCATCTATGACCAAGTCACATGTCAATCTTTTATGCCCTTCGACCTGATCATCATCAACCACCCACTCCATAGCATTGTCCATATTTTTTGATCTGAGGGGGGTCTCTCTTATCTTTTTTAGCAAACATGTCTTTCAAGAATTAATTATACTTGACATAGACTAGGTTATTGAGCCTCTTTGATTCAAGCATGTTCTTTTTCTTTGTATGAAGCTAATAAAATCAAATGAAACTAATTAATAGAATATTAAATAATTAAAATTATTAAATATATAATCGTAATATTACATAATAGTCAAAACTAATAACTACTAAAGTACTACATTACGAATACAAATTACCCTTAACCCTTCAAAAGTAATCCTATTCTGCTCACAATTGGACGAGGAAGTGATTAGGTTTAAGATCCGAATGGCCAACTGTGTAAATTGGGAGAACTACACTCTTGTTGGCTCCACCAATTGGCTGTAAAGATATAGAATAAAATCATAAATAAATAATAAAATTATAGAAATGAAACTTGATAACTTGAATAGTTGAACTTGATGAACTTAAGTTAAGAATATTATTACCTGGATCAATTTTGATCCTTTTGCCTCATTGCCATTGGACTCTCAAAAAGACTTTAATGATAACTTGTAATTTATCAGCTCATCAGCACATTTAATATCCTAGATATCTAGATCAGGGACTACCACATTTACACACTTATTAAATCTAGTTATAATTGTGTCATTTGTGTGTATATCCTTATCAACATAAAGAAAGCTGGGTTCAAATAATAACCACCTGCATGCAATGGCCGATGTAGTTGCCTATCTCACTTTTCATCAATAATCTCTGTAAGAGCCACAATTTTCTCCCAAGCCAGTATTGTCGCGCGAGAAGAGAGATGTAATGTCGAGCGAGGAGGCATAAGGATTTTCGCCGCTCGCAAAAAGGCGTATGGAGTATTGTCGTCTGTGGCATTGCCACGCGTGTTTAAGGAGCAGCTTCTGGTGGAGCAGCGCCGGTTGGAGCAACATCGGTTGGATAAGAAGAGAGTAGTGCCTGTTGGAGTAGCGTCAGGTGGAGCAACGCCGGTTGGAGCAGCTCTGGTTGGATAAGAAGAGAGTAGTGCCGGTTGGAGCAGCGTCGAGTGGAGCAGAGCCAGTAGGATAAGAAGAGAGTAGCGCCAGTTGGAGCAGCGTCGGTGGGATAAGAAGTGAGTAGCGCTGGTTGGAGCAGCGCCGGTGGGATAAGAAGAGAGTAATGCCGGTTGGAGCTGCATCGTTGGGATAAAAAGAGAGTAGCGCTGGTTGGAGCAGCGTTGATGGGATAAGAAGAGAGTAGTGCGCCGGTTGGAAGAGAAGAGAGCAGCGCCAGTTGGATGTTTGATAGTGCGGTGCCAAGAGTGTCTTAGTCAAACGTACAACCTCTGTACATGTCAGAGCCGCCCTGTACGTATCAGAGCCATGAGTGATTGCATCAGCCACAATGTTTTCCAACCACCCTCTCCTTTTAAGCCTTGGGTAACATGGGTCTCTCCCATTTTTCTCAACTTCTCCCTCTCTCTTGAAGTTCACTGATGCCTCTTTCAAGATAGCCCACTGGTGAAGCCAAGGACAACCTGTGAAGGCCATGAGTGAGGATTTGTGATACTGTGAGAAGTCAAGGTAAGTGGGTTTAGCTTTATGCATCCATGAGTGTTGTAAAAATGTTGAAATGAATTAGATGATATAAAGGAAAATGTGAAGAATGAATGGGTTAACATGAGGTTGAAGTTTCAGTTTGTGCTTCTCAATGCCATGATTGTGTCTACCACATGTTGATCTTTTTATTTATGGAAACTCATGAAATCGCTCACTGTGAGACTCCTTATCACGAATAAGGTTACAAGCCCAAAGTGTAGCTTGGCTAGTGTTATTTAAAAGTATATTAACTTAAGAATGTGAATTTCCAGAACTGTGAATGTTTTTGCATCTATATGTTCGATGACCAAATAGCATCTAAATAGGACCAAATCGGTCCCAAATGAAAGACATGTGTGTATACTCCAAGTTTAATTTTTTTGTCATGATAATATTTTGCATGGATAAAAAGATATGGCCCTAAATGTCAAGGCATGACACTGTTCACAGTCGCTGCTATTTTCAGCACTGTGGCCCTCCTTGGGCAAGGCTTTTGACCTAGTTAATGGTATCCAAAAACCTTGAAATTACCATCATTGGAAAGCTTTATGAATGTACTTAGACGGAGGTAGTTAGGTGCCTCGATCTCACCCTCCGGATCTCTGGGGATTGGGTGGTGCTCGTCTCGGGTTTTGAGGGAAGACCCGAGATGTTTTTGATATCACTCTTTCAGGAACCTCGTTTGAAAACGGTTGCAGGTGTTACCAACCGATGAGAGAGGAATTTAAAGGTGGGTTTGGGACTTATTCGGGCTGACTGCATGGGTGCCCTCTTAGATCACGAAGAAAGCCCCCCAGTAATAAAACTGGTGCAAAATCTCCTCCCTTAGCTTGTATTTTTCTAATTTTCTATAATCACACACATATATGGTAAAGGTTATAAGACAGGTGGGTCAGACCTCGCCCTTTTCCTCTTTGATGAAGGTACACAAGTATGCGCATTCAAAAAGAAGAAGAGAAGAAATACGGGGGAGAGAAGAATTCGACTAAGCGAGAGGATCAGAGCGGTGACTAGGCTGGTGGATAAGTGGCCTGACGTGGTACCAAAATGGGCTCGCTAACTAAGACCGGCTCATAGGATCACTACTAGACATAATTACTAATGCCGACTAGCTAGGCACGTTGGTCAATCTGTCATGACAATAAAGCAGGCCAAGTAATCTTAGCACAACAACATTACAGCTAGACGACAGGACTGCCACGAGAGGCTAACCTCAATCCCTCTTAGTCGAACGAAGGAGTGGCAGAATTAAGGCTATGAGGAAAGAATAAGAAGAGAAGAAGGAAAAGAAAAAAGGACGGAGAAGAAAGGAAGAGAAGAGCATGAAAGATGAGAGGATAAGGAGAGAGAGGGAAGGAAGGCATAATCGGGGCTAAGCATTACCGAGTGCGTTAAAAGGAAGAGGGAGAAAACACAGTCGGAGCTAGGCTTCACCGATTGTGTTGTACAGAGGGGAAGAGAGAGTAGACGCAGTCGATGTTAAGCTTCACCGACTGTGACAGAAAAGGAGAGAGAAAACTAGTTGACGTTAGGCTTTACCGACTGATAGAAGAGGAGAGAGAAAACCAATCGACACTAAGTTTTACCGACTGATAAAAGAGGAGAGAGAAAACCAGTCGGTGTTAGACTTCATTGACTGACAAAAGAAGAGTGAGAAAACTAGTCGGCATTAAGTTTTGTTGATTGATAGAAGAGGAGAGAGAAAACCAGTTGGCATTAGGTTTCATCGACTTACAGAAGAAGAGAGAGAAAATGAGTCGACGTTAGGCTTCACTGACTAACAGAAGAGAGAGAAAATCAGTCGGTGCTAAGCTTCATCGATTGAAAGAAGAAGAGAGAGAAAACCAGTCGGCACTAGGTTTTACCGACTAACAAAAGAAAGAGAAAACCAACCGATGCTAGGCCTCGTCGGTTGTGATAGAAAAAAGAGAAAACCAAAGGGTGCTAGGCCTTGTCAGTTGCGATAGGAGAAAGAGAAAACCGACCGGCGCTAAGCCTCACCATTTGTGATAAAAGAAAGAGAAAACCAACCGTCACTAAGCCTCATCGTTTGTGACAATAGAAAGAGAAAACCAACCCACGCTTGGCCTCATTGTTTGCATTAGAAGAGGATGGATGGTGATTGAGATGAGAAGAAAAGAGAGAAAAGGATAGAGATGAGAAGAAGAGAGAAAAA